AGGTTGCGCCCTCGGCCGGCGAGAATACCACGACCTCAAATTGGTGGCGCCATAGGTTGCGCCCTGGGTCGCCGGAAATGAATATTAAAACGTCCTCCTAACAGGTGCGACCAATTCAGTCCACTCAGTCTGGTCAACTTAATTCGCGATAAACGAATCCGGGATACGCCGGAAATTACGTGCGAACCATTCTGTGGACAGTGCACGTATACCACATATGTGCGCGCGGCATTTTCCATAGCGGTAGATGTGCTTACGACATCATCATATATGGTTACATAGCGCCGATGTGCTTACGACATCACCACATATGACTACATAGCGGTGACAACATACATTTTTTGACATTTCACACATCGCACACACGCCGACGCCACCTGTGTTTCCCACCACAAAACAAAATTACGCATCGGCCCGTCTTGCATTCTGATTCGAGATCTATGGTATTGACAGCTTTGTTTTCCGCCGCAAAATAAAATTACGAATCGGGCCGTCCTGCATTTTGATGAGAGTTCTATGGTCTTGACTGTTAACGTACATGTTACCAGAAATAAGCCAGAGCACCATTAGTTCAAAATTATGTTGTTGTCGGAGGATACATAACAAAAGCTTGTTTGTTACCGAGACAAAATCTGGATCACAAGTTCTCAACATATTTGTTGGTGTTGTGGATGGCCAGGTGCCGCAAACATGTTCAAAACCGTTGTTAAGCATGTTAAGAATCGTTGTTAAACGCTTCAACATAAGTTGAAATCGTCGACTTATAAGTCGACATAGTTCGACTTAGTAAGTCGAACTACGTCGACTTAGTAACTCGAACGTTCGACTTAGCTAACTCGACTTAGGCCGACTCACTAAGTCGACTTAGGTCGACTTAGCTAACCGACTTATAACTTGATTAAAACTCAATTACTAAGTCGAAAAGTTCAGGGCTAATTGAGCTAAGTATAAGTCACCGAACTTGGTTATAACCCGACTTATAATTCAACCTCCTAAGTCTGCTGACTTTTACTAACTCAACGAGCTCTAATAAGGTATTAGAGATTGACTTATATCTCAGACGCTGTCAGTCACTATTAAACGCGCCAATTTATAACTTAGTTATAACTCAATTATCACTAAGTTATAACTTAGTTATAACTTAGTTACTAACAAGCGTCCTCAACTTATATCTAAGATATAACCCGCCGTTCATCTCAGTGGAGGCCATGGAGGCCGAGGTCCCGGACGTGGCCGCTGCGCAGCGGGCGTGGTGCACGGGGCCGGCCACGCACCCGTGGCGGGGGGCGGACGGGCGCTACGAGACAGTGCTGGGCCAGCGCGGGTTCGACCAAGGGACCCCTTGTCCCCGGCTGGCTCCGCGGTCGGTCAGCGGGGTGCCCTGGAGCAGCTCCCAGGCGAACTGCGGCAGCTGGACGCGGAAGCTCGGCTCTTCTCGTATCTGGACGACACATACCTGGTAGTCACGGCCAAGCTGGGAGCTCGCACCCTGGACGCGCTGGCGAGAGCGCTCGCGCCGCTGGGGCTCGAGTTGAAAGCTCGCAAAACCCTGGTGTGGTCTCCGCGCGGACTCCAGGCAGTCGAGCTCGCGGCCCACTACGTGCCCGAGCTGCCCGCGCTGGGCGCCCACCTCCGCGCGCCCTGGGACCCGCAGACGGACGCCGGGGCCGCGCTCCACCTCGGCGGAAGCAACTGCGGCCTGGACGGAGCCCGGAAGCGCTTGGAGCAGCTCAGGGGCAGGCTGCGCCAACTGCAGCACGGGGGCCTCCCCCGGCAGGCCGCCGCCGCGCTCCTGCGCACCTGCGCGGGCAACGCCAGCCAGCACAGCCTGCAGCTGGCGCCGGCAGCTGACGACGAGACGCTCCGCTGCGACACCGCGCTGCGCGCTTGCTGGGAGGACCTCGCGGAGCGGCCGCTCGGGCCCGAGGCTCGCGACCTGCTGGGCTTGCCAGCGAATCTGGGTGGCGCGGGGGCCCAGTGGGCGGCCACGCGCAGGGCGGCCGCGTACTGGGCGGCCTGGACGCAGGCGGCAGGCGAGGTGCAGCGCGGCCTCGGCGCCGCCTATAGTTTGCAGACGCCCTGGAGACGCTCCCGCAGACGCGCGCGAAGCTCGAAGAGGCGCGCGCAGAGCTGGCGCGCCAGGGCGCCGAGCCTTCCCCGGGGGCCCCGCTGGCTGCTGCACTCCGGGAGGAGACGCGACAGAAAACGGTCATTGCGATTATCCACAAGACAGCGCACGCGGCTGCCAAGCAGCGAGTGGATCTTCGCAGCAAGGCCACCTTGCTGTCTGCGGGCGGCCCTGGGGCAGGCGGCTTCTTGCAGTACCCGACGAAGCCTCTCTGCGCCCTGGAGGACGTGGACTGGAGCACCTCCCTGTGCCGCCGCCTGCAGTTGCCGCGGCCAGAATGCTCGCTCGCGGAGCTGGCTCGGGCCTCTGCTACCCGCTGCAACCAGACGGCGAGCAGCGCCACCTGGGCGGCCCCGCTAGCCGAAGACGGCTACCACGCCTGCACTTGCCAGTCTGGCGGGGGCGTCGTGAGGCGCCACGGCGACTTGGAGAAGACGCTGGCGCCACTGCGTGCCCCTCTACGAACAACGAGTCCCAGCTTGGGATAGGCATCGTGCGCGGCGGCCGGCCGAAGGGCCCGGCCCGCCGGTCCTGGAACGCGACGTGTTGGACCTCCAGAACGCGGAGGTGGACGGCCCCTGGTGGGTGGACGTGACGGTCCGCCACCTGGCGGCAGGCGACGAGACGGCGCTCCGGGTTGCGGCGTGACGGCCGGGAGAGGCTACGCGCAGGGCCGAGCGCGAGAAACGTGATAGGTATCCGGGCGAGCGGCTCACGGGTTTCGCCCTGGAGACCTCTGCCGCCTGGGCGCTGAGGCGCGGCAGTGGCTGCTGGCGCAAGTGCGCGAGCTCCCCGAGGACACGCAGCCCGGGGAGCTGGCGCGCGCCTATAAGGCGCTCAGCTGCGCGCTGCAGCGCCAGGTGGCGCGCCAGCTTCGGCGCGCCGCCGCGCTGCGCTGAGCCGCGCGGACTGCCGGGCCCGGGCTGGGGGCGGCGCCGAGCCGCGGCGCAGGGCAGAAGCGCGGCGGGGGCTGGTGCCCAGGGCGCGCCGGGGCGGCCGCGGAAAGCGCAAACTGACTGGGCGGCGGCCGGCTGCTGCGGGTGCCGAAGCGCGCTGGGCTGCCTCGGGCGCTGCGACGCGGCCAAGCTGGCTGGGGGCCGCCGCCGGCGCCAGCTGGCGGGCTGGGCGAGCGCCGGGGCGCTGGCTGCTGCGCTGGGCGGCTGGTGGGCGACCGCTGGCGGCGCTGCGCGGGCGGGCGCGCGGATTGCTGCGCGGGGCAGAGGCGCTCGCGGCTGGGGACATCATCATCGCGTTCGTCGCGGTGCTCCTGCAGTAACGGAGTCTATATAGGCCCTGGCTGGCGCACCCTTCCTCGCCGGCCGCGGCTCCCGCTGAGCGGTGGGTCGTGCCTGGGGTGGGAGGGTTGCGCCGGCCCCCGTTCATTGTGCAACCCGCGGCAAAGGGACCCGCGGTGCGCGGAGGAGGGGGAGGAGGGAGGAGGAGGAGGAGGAGGAGGAGGAGGAGGAGGTGCAGGAGCAGGAGGAGGAGGACGCGGTGGAGGAGGGAGGAGGAGGGGAGAGGAGGAGAGGAGGAGGAGGAGGAGTAGGAGGAGGAGGAGGAGGAGGAGGAGGAGGAGAGGAGGAGGAGGAGGAGGAGGAGGAGGAGGGGGAGAGGAGGGGGAGGAGGAGGAGGAGAGGAGGAGGTTAGGGGAGGAGGGGGGAGGAGGGAGAGGAGGGAGGAAGGAAGGAAGGAGGGAGGAGGAGGAAGGAGGAGGAGAGGAGGAGGAGGGAGGAGAGGAGGAGGAGGAGGAGGAGGAGGAAGTGGAAGAGGAGGAGGAGGTGGAGGAGGAGGAGGAGGAGGAGGAGTAGGAGGAGGCCTAGACGGAGGCCCAAATGGAGGCCGAGCCCTGAGCCCGCTCCACGGCCAAGGACCCCACGCCCACCAGCGGGCCCGGCATGTGCTCCGCGCGTGCGAGCGCCAGAGCGGCGGCCGCAGCGCAGAGCAGCGCGTGGGCGGCGTGGCGGACCTCTGGGGCGCCCGGGCGGGGCTCGGCCTCGGCCTCGTCGTCATCGTCGTCATCGGCGTCGGCGTCGTCGTCGCCGCCGCCTCCTCCTCCTAACTCCTGGTTCCTGGTCGCTATGGACTTCGGACGAAGGACGAAGCTCATTCCCTCCCTCCCCCTTCACCTCCTCCTCCTCCTCCTTCTCCTCTCCTTCCTCCTCCTCCTTCCCTCCTCCTCCTCCTCCTCCTCCTCCTCTTCCTCCTCCTCCATCCTCCCGCCTCCTCCTCCTCATCCTCTTCCTCCTCCTCCCCCCCCTCTCCTCCTCCTCCTCTCCTCCTCCTCCTCGTCCTCTTTCCTCGTCCTCGTCCTCGTCTCGCCTCGTCCTCGTCCTTTTCCTCCTCCTCCTCCTCCTCCTCCTCCTCCTCCTCGTCCTCCTCCTCCTCCTCCTCCTCCTCCTCCTCCCCCTTCTGTATTACTTTCTCTCTCTCTATATATATAGATATATCTTTCTCTCTCTATTTCTTTATGTCTCTCTCTCTCTCTTTCTCTCCCTGTCTGTGGGTCATCCTGACGCGGCCATCCTCCCCCCACTCAGGGGCGTTTGCCCACGAAAGGGGTTTGATCAAACTGAGTGCGCCAAGCGATTCCGTAGGGGGGTCGCCCCCCGGAATCGCCCACTGCGGGGCGGAAACTAAGCGGCAAGATGATAGCAGTAGCGGAGGAGGAGGAGGAGGAGGGCGGAGGAGGAGGAGGAGGGCGGAGGAGGAGGAAGAGGAGGAGTCTGAGTACCCTGAGCGAGAAGAGACGAGGGCAAGCGGACAAGAAGCGAGAAGAGGGCAAGCGATCCGATCCCGCTCCCTGCCAGCTGCCGCTGCATCTACTTCCACTGGATGTAATGTGTGGCAGCGCTGGCCGCTGCATACGGACGTGCTATGAGATCGCGCGGGGAGAGTAGCTCGGGAGCGCTGGACAAAATGCAAGAAAAAGCAGGGATGGGAGGAAGCGCAGAGGAAATAAGGGAAGAGCGGGATGGAGCGTGCCAGGTGTGGGGCACAGGGCTGCATTGACGGGCGGCGGAGGCCTCAACGTCATGCGCATCATCCGCCACTCCGCGCGGCGGAACGGCACGAACATCATGTTGACGCTCCGACGCGGGGCATACAAATTCGTCTGCCAGGCCATCGAGAGACGAGGAGCAGTATGGAAGTTGGAGGAGATCAGAGCGGCGAAGGTACATAGCGCCAGAAACCGCCCAAGCGTGCCCGCTGCCAGCAGCAGCATGCAGAAATGACGCAGCATCCTGAAGATCTGGTTCGGGAAGGGCGGCGTCGGCCGAGCAGTGATGGCACGGAGCACCATGAACAGCCCATTCATGCCGAACGCCTTCGGGATGGACGTGGCAAGCAGCAGCATGCAGAACGCGGGCTGGGCGAGCAGCGGCAGCGGCTCCAGAATCAGCTGCAGGAAGATCATGTTCGGGAAGGGCGGCGTCAGCCACCTCATCTCCCTCCTCGTCTGAGCTATGCATGTATTCGCCACACTCTGCGGCGTCAGAGTCGCTCTCACTGTGGGTCGCGCAGTGATACGAAAGCTGCTCCATGAAAGTGTCGTACAAGATACGGCGCGCAGGGCCATCAATCATCGCCCATGCGGCCACGTGCTTCAGGATCTTCGCTGCCTCCGTGTATGTGGTGCTGTAGCTGACCAGCTCCGTGGTAATGAGCATGTGAACGAGATGGCGCGCCGCGGCTTCGTCAAGACGATCACGGCGCCGAACGAAAGGCTGATGTGGTGCGTGCGGTAGGCGTGCAGCCAGGAGACGCCTCCAAGCCTCGGACTGCTGGTGGTGACAATCTCCATCACGAGATTGGGCGGGACAAGCTTCACGACCATCAGATTTCGTAGGAGCGCCACCCACGGCGGCAGTGGAGCAGGCGTGAGGAACACGGTCAGCAACATAAGGTTGAGCAGCATGCAGAGAGGCGCCACCAGTAGCGGCGGTGGGACCTCGGGCACCATCAGGTTTCGTAGGAGCGCCAACTGCAGCGGCAGCAGTGCAGACGTGAGGGCAACAGTCAGCAACATGAAGTTGTTCGGCATGCAGAGAAGGCGCCACCTGCAGCGGCAGCGGATCGGACTTGAGCACCATCAGGTTGCGGTGGAGCGTCGTGTGAAGCGGCAGCAGGACGATCTTGAACACCTTCAGGGTTGGTCGGAGCGCCTCCCGCATCGGCGGCAGAGCGGACAGAGGAACACAGTCAGCAACGGTAGGTTGTTCAGCATGCAGAGAGACACCATGAGAACCAGCAGGGTTACACGGATGACGAAGGATTGCAATTTAATCTCCAGCGGCATGAGCATCACCAGCGACGGGTTCAGGAGACGGTTGACCGCAAGCAGCATGAACATCCCCAGCGTCGCAATGACGGCGCTCGCGAGGACCAGCCGAAACGCCCGATTCACGAAGGATTGCTTGAGCAGCGCCAGCGGCATGCGCATCACCAGCAGCGGATGAGTGAATTGGGTGGGCCCCAGCAGCAACACGGGCGCGTTGATGTACGTGCAGGTGGTCACGATCATGGGCAGCACCAGGAAACACGTCGGGAGTAGGTCCTGCGCCTTGTATGCAATGAACATGTAAGGGGAGCGGGCCAGCACCAGCATCCGCTCGGCGTGGTACCCGAGGCAAAGGAAGGAGATCACGTGCAGCCCCAGGTTGGGGGAGCGGACCGGCTCCATGTCGTAGCGGAGCTGCAGCGGCGAGCGGTGGCAGTGGTCCCACAGCTCCACCAGCGGCTTCCTCGCGAAGTTGAGATATGAAGCGTGCCACTTTCGGAAGCTCTCCCCCAACTCCGCCCGAGCACACCCCCAGAGAACATAGAGGAACGAGAAGCGGATGAGGCGCGTGTGCAGCGAGGGCATGGCGAGGATCAGAAGCGGCATCTCTGTGATCCTGAACAGGTGCATCGGGCAATAGAAGATGAAGTTGTAGAGCATGACGCTTGTGGGTGCACTGCCCGTGCCGCTGAAGGTGACGACAGAGGCAGGCGTGAGCAGCGGCCAGCGACCGAGTATGCGGCATGAAGACCAGTGCCAGGAGGTTCAGGCAAAACATAGCGAAGCATCGAGGAAACATATGCAAGCGCGGGCCTCCGCAGGCGGCGCGGCACTAGGCCAGGGGGCCTCGAGGGAGATGGCTATGCAGACCATTTCGGCCAAGTCCGAGATCCCAAGGAGGGACGGACTTGAGCCAAAATGGCTGCGGAAAGAGGAGGAGGCGGAGGAGTAGGAGGAGGAGGCGAAGGAGGAGGAGGAGGAGGAGGAGGAGGAGGGCGGAGTGAGGAGGAGTAGGAGGAGGGGGAGGGGGAGGAGGAGGAGCGAGGAGGAGAAGCAGGAGGAGGAGGAGTAGGAGGGAGGAGGAGGAGGCGGAGGAGGGGAGGAGGAGGAGGAGAAGCAGGAGGAGGAAGAGGAGGAGGAGGAGCGAGGGGGAGGAGGAGGAGGAGGAGGAGGAGGAGGAGTAGGAAGGAGGAGGGGAGGAGGAGGAGGAGGAGGAGGGAGGAGGGGAGGGGGGGGAGGCCAAGGAGGAGGAGGAGGAGGAGGAGGAGGAGGAGGAGGAGGAGGAGGAGGAGGAGGACGAGGAGGAGAGGAGGAAGGGGGGAGGAGGAGGAGGAGGAGGAGAAGAGGAGGAAGAGGAAGGGAGGAGGAGGAGGAGGAGGAGGAGGAGGAGGAGGAGGATGAGGAGGAGGAGGAGGGGGAGGAGGAGGAGGAGGAGGAGGAGGAGGAGGAGGAGGAGGAGGAGGAGGCGGAGGAGGAGGAGGAGTAGGGGGCGGAGGAGGAGGAGGAGGAGGAGGAGGAGGAGGAGGAGGAGGAGAGGAGAGGAGAAGGAAGAGGAGGAGGAGGAGAGGAGGAGGAGGAGAGAGGAGGAGGAGGAGGGGGGAGAGGAGGGGGGACGAAAGAACCAGACCCTTGCAGACGGAGATGTCGCGACGGCGCGGCGGCACGGCTGGGGAGGGCCGGTGCTGCGCAGAGGCGGTGTGTGCGCGGCGCGGCGGCCCTCGCCAGTGTGGATGATGACGCAGTAGGGCATTCCGCGGGAAGGGCCCCGAATCCCACCCGGGGGACCACCCTCCTCCTCCTTCCTCCTCCTTCCTCCTCCTTCCTCCTCCTCCGCCCTCCGCCTATTCCGCCCTCATTCTCCGTCCTCCTCCTCCTCCTACGTCCTCCGTCATCCCCCTATCCTCTCTCCCTACTCCTCCTCCTCATCCTCCCTCCTCCTCCTCCGCCCTTCTCCTTCCTCCCCCTCATCCTCCTCGACTCCCCGCATGGGCACTCCGCGGGGAGGGCCCCCACCCGAGGTGCCCTCGGCCGCCGAGAAAGCCGATGAGCTCCTTCTGCAGAAAAAAGAAAACAACGCCATCAGCATAAACTTTTGGCGCTCTGCGCGGATTGTTTGGATCCGCGCCGAACCCCCCCTCCCTGGCGCGCAGCGCGCGCCAGGGGTGGCGCCAGAGGCGCCGCCATGGGGGCCCAGCGCGGATCCAGGAAATCCGCGCAGAGCGCCAACAGTTTAAATGTATGGCGTTTTTTCTTCTTCGATTCTTGGGGGACTGGGGCCTATCCAGGGGTGCCGCCTGGGGAGACGGAGGTTCGCGCCGTCCGTGGTGGCGGCCGCTGTTGTTGCGTCTCCGTCCTCCGCCCAACGTACTGGCACACACAGACCCTGATCCCTCTGTGGTCAGTGTGGGTAGCTCGGATGTGGCCACTGAATGTGCTGAACTGAGGAGGAGGAGGAGGAGGAGGAGGAGGAGGAGGAGGAGGAGGAGAGGGGGAGGAGGAGGAGGAGATAAGGGAGGAGGAGGAGGGATGGGAGGAGGGTCGAGGAGGCATGGAGTGAGGGAGGAGGGTGTGCTGAAATGAGGAGGGGGGGGGAGGGGGGGGGGGGAGGGGGCGGGGGGGGGGGGGGGGGGGGAAGGGGGGGGTGGGAATGGAAGGCTGTTTTTTTGGGGGGGGGGGGGGGGTGGGGGATGGGATTCCGCCGAGAGTTGTGTCAAGAGCTGCGCACTGGGGGGCACAGGCACCCCAACCAGACAACCAACACAACCACACACCCCGAGACTGTGCGAGACAGCGCCCGCCTGGCAGCATTCGGGCACGTGGACCTGCGTGCGGGGGGTGATTAGGCCGGGGCTGGGGGCAGGATGGAGGAGGAGGCAGGGGAGGTGGAGGAGGGAAAGGCAAAGATGGGAGAGTGTGGTGAGGGGGGTGGAAGGGGTAGTGGAGGGGGGAGGGTGGTTGAAGGGAGAGGAGGAGGAGGAGGAGGAGGAGGAGCAGGAGGAGCAGGAGGAGGAGGAGGATGAGGAGGAGGCAGATGTGGGGCTGCAAGCTCATGCGCGAGAGCTGCGTCAAAGCTACTGCGCTGAGTGGCTGGTGTAGCTCGGAGGCGGGCGCTGGTGCCGAGCTGGGTACGGCACTTGGGGGGGGGGCGGGCGGGCTGCGTGAGACACGTCTATGTGGGCACCTGCCGGCACGCGCGGCGCAGAATGTGAGGCGGAGGTGGAACTGCGAGCTCGTGCATGAGAGCAGTGCCAGCTGCGGCGCGAAAGCTGGTCGGAGCCATACAGTGGGGGCTCGGCCACAAGAAACCTCCGCAAGAAACCCAACCCTGAAATACGCGATTCGTTCAGTGAAGATCCACATGTGTCGATCGAAAATCGTCAAGATCTGATTGGGAGCCCACCAAAATCCAAGAAACCCAGGGCACCCTGGCAAAATCCAACTGGTTTCTTGGCACGGGGCCACGCTCGCCGAGAATAGAGTTATGTTGCGCCCATCGTGCTTAAGGGCCACATCCCAGAAGTAATTTCGAGCACCCAGAAAAGTGTCGAAAGAGTGTCGAGAGCGTGTCGAAACAGTGTCGAAAGAGTGTCTCCCAGGGCCCGGCACGTGAAAACCCTCGAGCTTCGGAGTGTTTCCCCGGTGCTCGAAATTCACATCATGAGAATAGAGGAACAACAACGGCACAAACATACAATGGTGGAGCTCCGCGCGGATTTCCTGGATCTGCGCTGGACCGCGCGAGGGGCGGCGCCGGAGAGGCGCCAACGACTCCGCGCGGAGGGCCAAAAGCCTATGCTTATGCCGTTATTTGCGTCTTCGAGAGAGAGGGGTGGCTCGCACTCCCTTGCAGTTCGCTGTCTGGCGTTCTCCCAATCCGTTCGCATGTAGGAGATGTGCGCGTTCTACGCTTCGTTCGTGGCTCGTTGTCTCCTACGCTTTGGTTCCCGCCATCACCTTTGAGCAACATCGCCGTCAGCCCGGCTGTGGGTGAAGGTTGGTCGGGCCGGTGGGGGGCCACGCTCGCCGTGGAAGGGGTGGCTCCAAGGCCTCTCCTCGCACCCACAGGATGAGGTCTGGCATGCCCTCCTGCAGGCGGATTTCGGGAGACACGCTTCAAAGACTGCCAAGCACAAGACACACATCGCAAGAGCACGACAAACATCACGAGAGCACGATATTTTTTTTTTGGGGGGGGGGTGCATCGTCTCTGGCACGTGAGCAGCATGCAGGTAGCATCATGCACCTGGCGACCACAACTGCACTCAACTCCCTAAGGGCGGCCTGGAGCCGCAAAAGCCCCAAAAGGTAGCATCTCTTTGCGTAGTCGTCACCACTCTCCTTTCGGCTGTTCTCGGATACTCCTCCTGTGGAGAGGCGGTGCCCCCCTCGCGAACCGAAAACGGCCAAGTCGCTAATCGACCTGTCAGGGTAGGAGGTCTGTCCACCCTTGAACGAAGGATTGCAAAAAAACCCAGGATTGCAAAAAAAAAAAAACAGGATTGCGAAGCGTTGTTTTGCAATCCTTTGCAAAAAAACCTAGGTTTTTTTGCAATCCTTCGATCTAACCACAGGAGAGGTCAGGGTAGGAGTGGCAGGGCCGAGGAGGCAAGGATGCAAGGGTACCCTTGGGAAGGTTGCCGAATCCCTGCTCTGCGGGTTGACTGTACTCCTCCTGTGGAGGGGCGTGCCCGACCTCCAACCACAGGAGACCCTTTAACGAAAACGGCCTAGGACCGAAACCGACGGACCTGGACCCGCAAAAATGACGGCCGCGACGCCCCCTCGCGAACCGAAAACGGCCAATTCGCTAATCGACGTGTCAGGGTAGGAGGTCTGTCCACCCCCGATCTAACCACAGGAGACCCCCGAGGGGGGTCCGGCGCCCTGGCACGTGAGCAGCATGCAGGTAGCATCATGCGCCTGGCGACAACAACTACACTCAACTCCCCAAGGGCGGCCTGGAGCCGCAAAAGCCCCAAAAGGTAGCATCTCTTTGCGTAATCGTCACCACTCTCCTTTCGGCTGTTCTCGGATACTCCTCCTGTGGAGAGGCGTGCCCGACCTCTCACAAGGGCTCCCAACATCGCGCCCGCGCTGCGCGAGAGCGCGACCAACCTCGCGCTCTCGCGCCGCCCCCACAGGGCAGAAGAGGAGGACGAGGAGGAGGGGGAGGAGGAAGGAGGCCCACGGAGCGCGAAGCGCGACTCACTTCGCGCCCTCGTGGGAGCCCTTGCCTAACCGCAAGACCCCCTTGGGGGGTCCTGTGGTTAGGAGGGGAGGCAAAAGACGGAGGACGAAGGCAAAAGAGGAGGAGGGGTAGGAGGAGGAGGAGGAGGGATTAGGAGGAGGAGGGAAGGGGAAAAGGGGGGGGGGAAAAAAAAAAAAAAGGGAAGAGGGGGGGAAAGGAAAGAAGAAAAAAAAAAGCAGGAAGAGGAGGGGAGGCGGACGGAGGAGGAAAGAGGGCTGAGGATGAGGGAGGCGCGAGGAGGGGAGGACGTGCGGAGGAGGAGGAGGAGGAGGAGGAGGAGGAGAAGGAGGAAAGAGGAGGATGGGAGGAGGAGGAGGAGTGAGGAGGAGGAGGAGTGAGGAGGAGAGGAGTAGGAGTAGGAGTAGGGACGGAGGAGGGCCAACGGACGGACGGGGTGAGACCCCCGCGAGGG